ATCGCATTTATTTCATAACATGGCACTCGAATTGCTTTCAGTCCTTTTATGTATCTATAATAATTTATTTCGCTATATTTTGCTCATATTTCAGCTAATTAGGTTATATTTTTTATTATTTTTTTGTGTGTCGTTTCTGACAGACAGTTGTAGCCCCGTATAACGCGCTCGCTTCAGAAACCGAGTGAAGTGGGTTCCAATCCCGGGTCTCGTATCTCTAATATTTTTATGAGTATTTCATTTCCAACATGATTACCACTTGTCTTACGGTGAAGAAAACCATCGTGAGGAAACCTGCATCACTGGGATAATTAAAACATCACACACACTCAGTTAGACAAAATAGTCCCCATCCAAACTACATTGCCTTCAAAATATAATTCCACCATATTTTAGTTAACGGTATAAGTACATATTATATAAGCCACACACTTATGTAAATACTCATAAACTTATAGCAACTAGGTAGATTCTATAAAGGAAGAAAAATCCCTATAAATTACGAAATACTTCAAGAAAAATACGTTTCATAAATAACTTTTTACTTCTAACAAATTAATAGAGGCGACAATTTGATCAATCGAACACTCGAAGCGAAGAAAACGAATATAACTATACATCTTCTTTTTCCACAGCAAAATGGACTTTATTACGTACAAATAAATAATATTTTCACATAAAATCTATATCCAGAGCCGTACTCAAAAGTTATCGCAATGAAAAATGCAAGTTTTACTTTGTACTTAGCAAAGTATCGCGTGACGCATGATGAATGGGGGACCCTCTTAAAGCTTCAAACTTGCGAAGTTTCCTCAGAATAAATATCGGGTATGCGACATCAATACTCTAGAGTCTAGTGTATAGGCGGTTTAATGTTAAATATATGTATGGACTTCTCAGAACGGACACATGTTCGATTCTTAGACGATGTAAATATAGTAGTCATGAAGTTAGTTCAGATTAGAATTACGCTGTGGATTTTCTGCATTAAGAGGAGACGATGAGCAGACACCATGATAGGTTTCCCAAGTAGGTATTGGTAATAATTATATGAAAAAAAAAATAGTTATAGCGAAAATTGTACTACTCTAAGAACATGAATTAAAACGAAATTGAAAGGATTTCCGTGTTTGGTTTTTCTAAAAGGATTTATTTTTAACAATACGAACCATTATTCAACACATTCTATATGTTTAACTAAAAAAATGGTACTATTAAATAAATTTAAATCAGTCGAGTTGATCCAGACAAAGTTTGAGCTCTACGTTACACAAAGTATTCCATGCAAAATATTCCACAAAAAGAATGGTACCAAAAGATAATCTTTTAGTATGCACCCATTCTTTCATAGATACTACTGTACATAGACTAAAATTTAAATAGATACGCAAGCTAACCAGTTTAGCTGTAATATCACAATAAATATTCCTGGGAAAAAATGTACATAGAGCCTTGTGAGTACCATCGAGATAAAACAGTAGTTTGAAATAGGTATGCAGTAAAGTACGTCGTAGTTATCAGAACACAAAGGGGTAATGAAACTGTAGGATACCTTGCAAAATATAACGCAACTTGTCTGAAATTTGTATTTTAGTACGATAAAATAACGCTAATTTGTAATCACATATTTTTATATATTTTCCACATAAGATTAGGGTTTGTGTGTATTTATTAGCATTAAAATTTATTAATAACAAGAATTTTAATTTATAAAACAAAAATTATGTACTGATTTTGATAAAAATAAGAAAAAACATAGATACTTACTTTAAACCCTAACGAAAATTGACTACTTTTTTAAAAAGATTAACTCCTAATGATTTCAAAGTACCTGATGTAGTAGGTACTTATTTAATCTTACTAAAACTTTCTTGACTCATATGAGTCATAAAACACAAAGGTCATTAACAGAATAATATTAATATTTTGCATATACAATGCCTACCTTAAACGAAACTCGTATCCGCGAATTTTACTCCACGTATCTATCTACATAATATATGTAAAATGTGGCTACAGTACATCAATTACATTTTTTCGCCCAACTGAGAATACTTTCTAATGATAGTGATAGATAGCTTGATTCATTTTCATCTTAGTTGTAATAAATAAATAAATATGTTGGGACATTAACACACAGCACCATCTAGTTCCATGGTAAGCTACGAGGCTTGTGTTATGGATACCAGATAGTTGATACACTACACATATATAACTTTAAATACATACATATTATAAGTATAAATATAAACACCCATGACTGGAGTACAAGCATTCGTGCTCATCACACAAATAAACGCGCCCAGCGGGACTCGAACCCACGACCGCTGGCACAGCGAGTAGGCTCACTACAAACTAAGCCAAGTGTGTCGTCAAAGTTGTCGGATTATTTTCGCAATTTCAAAAAAGCAAGTACGCTTTTATTCGATATCCAAAACGTTTTTTGAGATACTACATTAAAAACTCAATATCAGAAAAGCCGGAAATATATCAAATTCATTTTATCATGAGCTTTTGTTTGTATTCACTGAGATAATACTTAATATAGACCGGTCACGTTTTATAATTGCCGCGGTGCCAGTCATCTCGCTCAATACGTCCATTAACCCTTCCAGTTTGTTAATTATTGATAGTACAGCCCTGATGTGAGCGTCCATTTGAATAACGATAATAAACTAAGAAAATTAATTATAATATGTTTTCTTATATATGAAATATAAAAGTCCATACTAATATTATAAATGTGAAAGTGTGTTTGTTTGTCTTTCTTTCATGTCGAAACGGCTTGGAGGATTGGCGTGATTTTTTGTGTGGAGATAGTTGGAGGGCTGAAGAGTGACATAAGCTACTTTTTATCGCGGGAGATTATCTCATTCCCACGGCAAAACACGTTATAATAGAATTCAAAAAAATATTTATGATCAATACAATTAATTAAATACGTGTTTTAGCATTTTTCAAAATTCATCCCTTATGGGGGTAAAATAGCGGATGAAAGTTTGTATGAAACCTACCATTTAAGAGTTTTTTTTGTAGTTTTAGCGCGAGCGAAGCCGGAGGTTCTGCTAGTTTTATATAATGTCAAATATTCAAAAAATACTTTTTTATTAATAAATGCTATTTTTAAGCCCCGACGCAAAAAGAGGGGTGTTATAAGTTTAACGTGTCTATATATTATCTATATTTGTGTATATCTTTGGCCTCGTAGCGCCCTAACGGATGAACCGACTTTAATATAACTTTTTTGTTTGAAAGATGACTTATTCGAAAGTGATCTTAGATATAAATCAAGAAAATCCATTTATCCATTTGCAATCTATCAGCTATTTTCTAGTCGTTAAAAGGATATGATAACTTCCGTCTTCCACAGATATCTATATACGGGCAATGCTAGTGGATAGGGGAATAAGGGGGGAAACCGGATAACCATGGTAAATAATAAGACGATTAAAAAAATATTAAACTTTATTTCATACACCATAAACTGATATGTACATTATGAGTACTGGCACACTTAATAGTAAATTCTAGTGTTCGTCCAGCGGTCGACATTTGTAAGACCGTATTCATTACATAAACAAACTCTTGCTAAAACATTTTTATCGATAACACCAAAGCTCATCAATAATAGCCACTATACAAAAAAACAAATGACATACAGACATCGATCAATAAAACACTAGATACACAATCAGCGACAAAAAATATCCTCACCGAATGAGCGCTCATTTGAACATTTGAGCGCGCTTTTAATATATTTTTTGTGAAAACAACTTTAAGCATTGCATTTTAGGTTCTATTTACATTGTAGTATATTTATTTCAACTATAATATTTTACTTAAACACAATTGTTGACAGTTTTAAGAGAACTTTTGCATGGGATTGTGTATCTAGTACTTTTTTGATCGATGCATGCAGGGGAGAAATGAGTACTGAACTGTTTTGTCTTTGCCTATTTATATATATAGATGTTAAATATGATTCTTTACATAGGGAAGGCGAAAAAATTGACAAGAAATATATTTAATCCCTCCACGACCACGGGCACGCCGGCGTTAAAGTTAACAATAGATTTCTTAGAAATTTAATTAATTTCTTAGAATTTTACCTGGAGGTGTTAATTAGTTAATAATACAAAACAAATGCATCCGTCGTTATTACACAGTGCATATCTGAATGACATTTTGAAGCCGAGGTCTTCGGTTCGATTTTGGCTCTTACAAGACTGAAATCTTTTCATCATCCAATATTTTAATCGGTTATTTATATTTTGTTTTTTAAAATAAGATAGCAAGAAAAGTAGGCTGAAAAATTTATGAACATAATATAACTATGGATAAAAAAATTAAGGCCATACTGTATACATACATTTAACTCGCTGATTCTTACAGATCATATCTACTATATATAAGTTTAAATTAAAATATATATTATATACATTTGCCTTATAAATATATACCTGGACAAAAATATACAAACAAACATTTTTACTTAAATAACAGCTCACATTAGATATTTCACAGAAAAAAACATTTTAAAATGTGACTATAACAAAAATGTGTATATCATAAAATCACTCAATTTCAACTAATTCGGTACAAGGAAGGTTAAATTATAAAGGGACTCCTCATATACCAAATCTTCAAAATAGCAATTTCTTCTAATTAGAAGCTTAACTTGTTAATATATAATTTTCAAATATAATATAATATTAAAGTAACAATTTTGTATGGAATGCTTTAAACTTATTGGAAGTCTTCGCGTATATTTTAATAAAATAAATAATTATACATAATTCATATATAATTTTTTTATATTCAATCTTCATGATAATCAAACAATTTTTTCAATCTTAGTATAAAATAATAAGTAAATAAATCCAAGAGCTTATTTACATATGAACTCACGTAACTATTTATCGTTACGTTGCGTTGCAATTATCAAATCTAACATGTAACACAGGGATATACATTCAAATTTTTGTATATATAAGTTATTACAATTCATCCCTCTTGTTTCTTTTTAAAGCTAGATCGTCGTGTTGGAACCATGTCGCGTATACCCTGGTGGGCTCGGGCGACGAGTGTCTGTGGAAGGAGACGGGGCGGTCGCGGGCGAGCACTTCCCGCGGGTAGTCCTGAGGCCGAGCCTAGTAGTGTAGTAATAGATATATTGATAATATAATAATAATTTATTTTTCTTTATTCATATACTTGTACAAAGTGCCATAATATACAGGGTCATTTTTAATTTACTGAAAACCTTTTGGGAATATACTGTTTACATCATAATAACAATATTTGTAAGAAAAAAATAATAATATTTCTTAAATTTTACAAAAATAAAAGTATTTTTATTGCTCCTACTAAACGGTAATAGTCCAGCAATTAGCAACAGAAAGCGCGTGACCGGTAGAGGGGGAGTGGTGGAGGGGGAGTGGTGGAGGGGGAGTGGTGGAGGGGGAGTGGTGGAGGGGGAGTGGTGGAGGGGGAGTAGTGGAGGGGGAGTGGTGGAGGGGGAGGGGTGGAGGGGTGTAGGAAGTAGCCCTTACTCATTTAAACTTGGCCAGATGCTAGAACTTTACCGTTTAGAAGGTGCAATAGAAATATTTTTATTTTTGTATGAAAATAAACATAATACTTTCTTAGATTTACGCGAATATTTGACATTTTAAATAAAACATTTAAGAAATATATTTTTTTCTTGTTACAGATGTTGTTGTTGTGATGTAAATAGTATATTCTCAAAAGGTATTTAGTAAATTTGAAAATGACCCTGTATATAAGATATGAAAACTTAACTCATTTAAAATTATGGTAAATTATGAACAGTTAGAACTAGGATAACTAATTTGGAACCTACCTGTACTAGGTTAAAAACGTGTGTTTCAGATTATACTTTTACCATGCATTTCTCACTGTGACAAAAGTTTATAACAATAGCAGAAGTTAAAAAAAAACTAATAAATTAGGTATTCCTAACCTAAATTTCAGTCATTGTGGTCAGTCTCACTGAAACTAACCAATTATATATAAACAATATAATTTAACTTATAATTATAGCAGGAGATATGATAGTGCAGCACGTGTACGCGCAGTACGTAAAGTACCTATATTTATAATAGGGTGGGGCGAAAAAAATTTTTTTTCTTAACTTGAGGGGTAGAATATGTAACTGATAAAAAACAAAATTTTTGAAAAGAAAAAATTTTACTCAACATTTTGATTTAAAAAACATTTAAATTAAATTTTTGGTTTGAATGATTTTTTTTTCATTTAAACATCTTCTTTGAAAACATTCATGTATTAACAAATATATTTAATTATTTTCTACTCAACTTTCATGTAATACAAAAAAAAAAGGAATATGTTATGTTTTTTCAACTTTTTTTAAAATTGCAATAATGCAATATCACAGTGAAAGTTAGGTAGAAAATGACCATATTCGTCAATTCTTGAATGTTTTCAAAGATCAGTCGAAAAAAATTTCCATTTATACCAAAATTTAAATTATTTTAAAAATCAACTTCAAAACTAACACTCAAAATGAATCAAAAGGACCACCTCAAAATGTTAAAAAGAAATTTTTTTTGACAACAATTTTGTTTTTTATAAACTACAAATTCTACCCCTAAACTAAGATATTTCTTTTTTACTCCCCCCCACTATATATGTATGTATGTACCTGATGGAAGAGCGGCGAGTGCGCGAGCGCGAGCGCGGGCGCGCGCGCGGCGCAGGCGCCCAGCGCCATGTCGTCGGGCGCGGCGCGCGCGCAGGCGCAGGCGGCCAGCGCGCGCGCCGCGCCCGCGCTCAGCGCCGTGCCGCCGCCGCCCGTTATGTAGTCGTAGCCTTGCGGTGCCGTTTAACAGTTAGTATTTATTATTAAGAACAGATAAAAACGTTATCCCTGTGATTTAAGTAATTATAGCCTTATCTAATTAACAATTGTAGCTAAAATATTTATTTGCAATAAGATATGTTAGTTAATAGATATAATTTTGAAATGGATTCAAAAAAAGAATCACTCAGTTTAAATTACCTCGTTTGCGCTAATAAAGAGCTACTGTGCTCGTGCTTAGACTTATATCACAAATTATAATATATCAAGATTGTATCAAAAAAATCATAAAAAAGGCAAGTTTAAAAATTATAATATAAGTGCGAAAGTCGTTTTCAGATACTTACGCCTGTTTACAAACGTATTTTAAGAATAGTGCCTAAAAGCAATTGTTACCTTAACTAGTAACAATATTAAACGGAGTAATTAAACATTTATATGATAATGAATTTAATTTATCTGTACTAATTTTTTTTGTATTATTAGAGTTAATCCGCACATTATATAATATAATTGTTGCAATATACATTATATATAATATATTTATAAATATATAATTACTGAAAGGAGGCCCGTACCCAGCAGTGGGACGTTAAAAAAGGACTGAATATAAAACACAATATACATTGATTAATAACAAATACGCATTACTTACTATAGAAAATATCTAAAAAATACACACACACACACACGCACACAAACTTAAAGACAAGGATAGCAAATCATACCTTTCGATGAAAGAGACAGCTCTTTCTTTCCGTACCCATAGCCGTATCTTTCGCCGAGTACGGTAAGGTCGGAACCACCTCGGTAACAACTTAAGATTTCACATAACCTTTGAACCCTTGGAATAAAATAAATTTATTTTATTTTAAAGAATACTCCATCTTTAGTTACTAATATAATAGATAAAGAAAAAACAGTTCAGTACGATTTTCTCCTCTGTTTGTCAAGCGATTTTCTTTTTTTTTGTTTAGTAGCTATTGACAAGCTTTAGTGTTGTCAAGAAAAACAAAGTTTATAACAAAAAAAATATTATCACTTAGTTATCTATTATACATATACAAAATTCTAACCAACCCAAATCTGTACATTAAATATTTTTTGGATATGGCTATTATTATCGATACAAAGGCCTAATCTATAGTTATTAGAGTTTTTGTCTGTCTGTGTCTGTCTGGGAACGCATCACGAGAAAACTGAACGGATTTTGATGATGAAGATATAAAGCTCAGACATTTTAATTGCATTCTCCATTTTGTTTTAATCTGTGCATACTAGGTACAGTAACTTTATTCAATGGAACTGCCGTAACATTTCAAAACTAATACTCTATACAAAGACCCTTAGGCGGAAATCGAAGCCGCAAATCCAATGGACGCTAAGCGATTATACGAGAGCGTCACTTCAAGATAATTACAAATCAAAATTATTATAAATTTCGATAGAAGCAGAATATTATATATATATATATATATATATATATATATATATATATATATATATATATATTTCAGATAGAGACATATTTTTCATAAGAAATACTTGTAATTACTTCTTTTTTACATTTTTTTATTTAAACAAAAAAATATAACAAAGGTTTTGGGTTTTTCAGTTTAGTATATGGGACGCGGCCTCTGGAGGAGAGGTATTTTTCGATAGGGGAGGTAATAGGGAGTTTAAATATATAAAAAATATTTTGAGGAAATGAAGGAGTCGAAAGTTATGGAGACTCAAAGTTACAAAGTTTTCATATAAACTGTGCCAAGCTTTTAGTTTTATATATTTGTCATTAATTCTCTTACCCCAAAATAGTGTCATCGTCAGCTAAAAATATCCATTTAATGTTTGGCAACTTCTCTATCCTCTTTACAACTTCCTTCAAAATGGTGACAGTTTTCAAGCAATGACCGGTTTTAGTGTTCGGCACGCCAACGTCAATAGATGGAAGGTTGGGATCTAAAAGAAAAAAAATGCCTGTTGTATATTTAACTAGTGACTCACCCTCGCTTCGCTCGGGTTCATCCCTAGCTTCCTTTCCAATACAAACTTTAACCCCCATTTTCACCCCCTTAATATATGATTACCGGAATAAAAAGTATCATTAGTCCTTCCCAGGGTCTCAAACTATCTTCTTACCAAATTACATCTAAATCGGTTCAGTAGATCCAGAGGTTACAACCTACAACGTCACAAACTTACAAACTTTACCTCTTATAATATTAGTATAGACTAGCGACTTACCCTCAATTCTCTTGAGTGCGTCGCTATGTACGTTATAAATAGATAAAAAATAGTTATCTATATATATTCTCCATACAAAAAATCAACACATATTTCACCACCTTCATGTTTTTTATACTAGCAATATTGTATTCAAATTGCATTACGATCTTATAAACTAAAACATGTAACCCCACGAATATTTTGTTATAAACAATAAAAATAATTATAACAATAAACATCTAATAAGTTCTCAAATTTTAAAAGTTTATTTCTTAGGCTGAACGGTGCTTATAAAATACTAATAAAAACCAATTTGATTATAGATAATTATTTTCTTTGTGAACAGAAATAATATTTTTACTCTTCGGCACCCTACTTTCCACTTCCGTTCGATCTTTCCGTTGACAACATATTTATTTTCATATCTACGAAAGTTTGCGAGCAAACTAGCTCGAACCAAAAAATACCTTTAGGTAACATCTCTATTTTAAAGCTTATTTGATTGGACTACGCTATGCAAGGTAGACAAAACGTTCCGAAAACGTGGGAGTTAGTTTTGTCAAAAGATAAAAATGGAAGTGCTCGAACAACTACGTAGGTCGTTATAAAATTTTAGCTTATTGCCTAAAAATAAAGCTTTATGTCGTATAGTTTAACAACTGAATTTTTCCGTTGTGGATTTATTGAAATGGAGGGTATAAACATACTTATCAAATGATCATTTTAGAAAATGGGTTCACTGACATATTGATTTTATCATACATACTTTCATTTTGCTAGCATATTTATTTTTATTATTATTTAAACTATGTATATTTTAATCAATATAATTTAATTTTGGTATTTTTCAAATTTATAATTTCAATAAATAAATGTATATATGTATTATGTACATGTAATATATAAAATTCTCGTGTCACAGAGTTAGTAACAAATCTCCTCCGAAACGGCTTGACCGATTCTTATGAAATTTTGTGTGTATATTCAGTAGTTTTGAGAATAGGACATAAATTATTTTTCCTATCCCTAAGTGATAAGGGTGGTCCACCCCAAAAAAAATATTTTTTGGACAAAAATTTTATTTTATTTTTTTATAAGTCGGCATTAAAAAATACAAACAAACAAAGAAAGAAAGTATTAAATACAAACAAACCTAAATTTTCACTAGGAAAGACCCTTTTTTTTTTTAACGTCAGGAAAACCCTGTTCCCGGGTACCCGTCCGCCTGGGGATAAGCGGGACGGGTTATGTGGGGCTCCTGCCGCGCAAAGGTGGTAAACGCGCGGCAGCCTACCCACTAAAAACCTGACGAAGGCCGCTTTGTCGCCACGGGCTGGGGTCACAGGCATCCAGATTCTTCTGTAAACCCCAGCGGCGAGAGCCTCTGAAGGCCCATCTCAAAGTCACGGGGGATTAACCCCGGACGGCCTCTTCGAGTGGCGTGCGGACGACTCCGCGCGCGCCTACTCGGGCCAGATCAGTGGACGGTCAACTTCCCAAAGCCGACCACCCTCTGGCTCGTGCTAGAGGGGGAGGCGGCGATCGTACGCCGCTCTCCGGCGCCCGGTCCTTTTGCGGCGGATGGCGAGCCCGGCGTTGGCCTCTCTCACCCTCTCCGCCACCTCCTTCTGCGACATCACGTCCTCACAGAAGGATAGGACGGCACCCCAGGACCTTTCGCTTCCGGCCATGGCAGAGATCACAGCCATCAGCGTCAGGTCCGGCCCCACGACACTTTGGAGCGCCTCGCGCTCCGTCGCCCATGCTGGGCACACCTCCAGCGTATGCTGGGCCGACTCATCGGGACAGTCGTCGCAGTGGTGGCAGCGAGGAGAGGGCTCCCTCCCGGCGACCCGACACAGATATCCCCCGAAGCAACCATGCCCCGAGAGGATCTGCGTGGCGCGGAAGGTTAGGACGCCGTGCCGCCTGCCCAGCCACTGCGCGAGAGTGGGGCGAACTGCCTCTATGGTCCATCGGCCAGCGCAAGGGTGCTCCAGCCTGGACCGCCACTCTTCTACTGCGACTACCCGCTCTTGCTCTTCTTCGATCGGGTCTCTAGATGGTGATAGACCTCGACGTCGACGGTATATTGACGCCAGGGAGCGTGCGTCCAAATCCCACGGCAGTACTCCCGCCAACACACATGCCACCTCCCCTGAGATGGTACGGTACCCCCTGATGACCCTTATCGCCATCACTCTCTGCGCCCTCCGCAGCAGAGCGATGTTTTCGCGTGACAGGGCATCCGCCCACACTGACTAGGAAAGACCCGAGCGGAGCGAGGGTGAGTGGCTAGTATATTATATAATACTAGCGGACCCGACAGACGTTGTCCTGTCTACACGTCTTTAATTTGAAAATTTCAAACTTTTTTTAAAAATTTTTTTGATGAAAATTATTATTCAAATTGTGAATCTAAACCATTCCCAGATCCCCTTGATCACACACAAAAAATTTCATCAAAATCGGTCCAGTCGATTGAGAGAAGTTCAGTGACATACACACTCACAGAAGAATTATATATATAAAGATATGTATTTACCTGCTTTGAATACACAAACATACAGTTTAGAAATCTATCTCTAAAAGTTAAAAAATACACTTTTCTAATACTCCTAGAGCTTCAACCAATGATTTTTCCTAATAAACCATAGCGACCAGGTCGAAAATATTGCATATGTTTAATTAAAAACTTCGACGTAAAGTTTTTTTGGGTATCTACTGTAACCAAAAGCCGAAATGGGACATGGGAAATTCACATATTAACATTAATTTTTAAACATGTAAAAAGTGACGATTCATATGTCCTTACAAAAGTCTATTTGGATAAAGTATATTTTGATTTGACTATCCAAGTTTAGGTAAATTTTATTCCTTGCTGTCCATATGATAGACATTTTAACTTTGATAAGTACATAAGTGTTGATATACCACTATAGAAAGGCGAAGTCAAATTACAAAACACATAAGAATATTGGTAAAGAAAAAAAAGTGGACCAACTAAGTTATTGAAAGCTCAAAGTACCCAACAACTGGCCTAAGTTGGAAAACTTTCACAAGTCTCATTGTGACTGCGGGCATAATGCGGCTAATTTCAAATTTTCATATTATTTCTAAAATTAGCAAAAGTTTATGCATTTCTTTGTTTGATTCAAGAGACAATGGCTCAAGAACGGCAAAATCGATTATTTAGAAATACCAACATAATAGTAGATTTTTCCCACCGTAACATTCCTAACGTGTACTCGTTACGTTATGCTCCTTGAAAGGAGATACGTATTTAAGTTGCAACGTGAACGTTGCAACTTAAATACGTATTTACGGGATTTTTGCATAGATAAATTAAATTTGTGGGGATCAGAAAATTTTGTAAGGTAGATATTATTCCGGTATATTAAATGTGGAATGCGTCTTAGCGAAGTGAAGCCATGATACTAATTATATAATATTAAATGTTAATAATTTTACTGCCTATTTTAGTTGATAGCGGCCATTAAGACTTTCCATGTATGCAGACACAAATATGCTATATTTATGCTGACACTCTTAGTGATAGAGATATAGAGATCATGTACAGTGTCCTATATATAACTAGTTATAGTTATTAAATTTATTATAGTAATATTTAATATACAATCAACTATTTTAAATAAAACTATCTTTTCGCATATTTTTTTTGCAAATTTGTTTTGATTTTTGGTTCCCGTTCGTATATAAGAAAGGGCCGGCAGTGTGTCGTGGGATGAGTTGAATTTCGGAGTTAAGTGAAGACTGAGAAAAAATACGAAAAAGAGAAAAAGTGACGGAAAGCTATAGTGAAAGTGTAAGTAATGGTGAAAATAGTGTTCAGTGACAGAATTTAGTCAGAACTGTGCATATACTGCGCGTGTTGGTAAATCTCCATAAGTCACCAAGAGTAATAAAACATATTCAAAAGACGTGCTTTAATTTCCGATCCCCCGAACTCGTAGAACGCAATAGTATTATTTTTTTAAATATATAAGTAATACAAAAAATAGCTCAAAAACATTACGAGTTACCCAACTAAAAATTGAAAATTATATTTATAAGAAAATATTTAAGCTCAAACGCATAAGTAGGAATAAATATTAACAGTTAGAAACAATTTATTTTAATTAATTACAATATATGTATAATAATATTGTTATTTTAGTATAATAACATTATGTATATTGTACATACACTCTCTGGGCTTTCAATCAGATTAATCTTGTACTATGAACCATCAAGACACGCGGCAGCGTGTCCAGCCAAGTTCAATCTGTTTTACACGATCGTAATCTATTGACTTCCAGGCACTAAAAAGTAAAAAATAACTAAACGGGGGTTTTCATTTAGAATAGATACCTAATCAGATATTTTCGAAGTCGGTGTGCTTTGATTTGCATCGGCTGGCACCGACTTCGAAAATATCTGATAATCCGTATCTATTCTAAATGAAAACGCCCGTTTGGTTATTTTTACTTTTTAGTGCCTGGAAGTCGGTTATTTTTTTTTTAAGTTTTTATTTTTCCTTTTTAGTGTAGACGTAATAAACAGGTAATTCGTAAGAAGTTTTTTTTTATTTAATAACATATTCGATTAAGCTATTTATTTAAAAATACTTTATTGTTGATTTTTTAAAAAACCGCCCGACCGATTTCGATAAAATTTAAATGGGGCCACCTGGGAAGTATACCCCTTGAAACAAAAAAAGAATTTTCCAAATCGGTTCAGGCGCCTTCGAGTAATCGATGAACATACACAAAAAAGAATACGTACAGACGAATATAGAACCTCCTCCGTCCTCCTTTTTGGAAGTCGGTTAAAAACTAAGAAATCACCATTTGAAAAGTCATTGAAACTCACCCGCTTTATCGCTAAAGAATTGCAAATGCGTCACATGTCGGCCCCAAGTTTTCTTTACGACTTTTGCTCTTGTAGAATGAAAGCCGCTCCAAGTCTTCACAGCGAAGTATATCGATTGTTCAGGCACCGGACTGCCCTGCCGGGGTAAGAATAACCTTTGTTTTTCAGAATATCTATATATACAAATAAATAAATTTGAAATGTCTGTTTGTTTTGTCAAAATAACAGCTTTTTACTAATTACTAAGTGCATATAAAAGTATATACGGTACTTATAAGAAAACATTAATTTAAAAAAAATGTATTTATTTATTTATTCCGGCTAATCTCCGAAACGGATGGACCGATGTTGACGGAACTTTCACTTGTAGATAGCTGATGTTATAAGGAGTTATTTTAAGCTACTTTTATTTTAGACAAAAAAAATAGGATTCCGACAAATAAAAAAAAAACAATGAGATTGTGAAGAAAATCCGCTTACCTACCTGAGCCTAAATGAAGAACACGAGCGAAGCAAGAGTAAGCCGCTAATTATAAAAATGTAACACAATTAAGAGTAAAGATTTATTGAAAAGTACATAAATATCAAAAACAGATAAAAACGATAATAAATGCAATATTAATAATTTGTTTCATAATATATTGTGTCATATGTAGATCAATTGTTGGGTTACTAACACTATACATATTACTTTAAAACCACATTTTAATGGTCCTTCAAGTAAAAGCGAAAAAAATGACTGTGACTAAAGGCAAATAATAACATATCAATTTTTTATTACCTACATATGTATTATTAAGTTGTGCATGTACGTATGTATGCAGTTTTGTATTTTGGAAATAATTCAATTTTGTCAAACCAAAGAACCAAGAACAAGTTGACAAATCGACAATAACGAACGAAACTTAAATAATAAAATTTAAAAATATAATTTACAACCAAAAACAAGACGGTGACTAAAAATACAATGTATAGTAAATACATTTCGTAGCCCAAAACTTTCAGGCTACATTTAAGGAGCTTAGACCCAATTGAAATTCTAAAGCTTTCAACATTTTTATCAACAGCGCTCCACTCTACGCAAAAGCTGCAAAACCAAATGTACGAAAACACTTTTCCTAATACTCCAGTTATCTTTATATATAACTAGCGACTCACGCTCGCTTCGCTCGGGTTCGTCCCTAGGTACGTTTTAAATTAAAATGGATATAGTATGTTATCCTTAAGAGATAGACATAATATGCCATCGCGGACTTTTCTGTAGACCTATATAAGATACACAATTCTATCAATCTTCAATAATAAATTATTTTGTTATATCTCAAAGGGTTTAGGCAGCGTTTTCGTTGAAAGCTCCCAGACGTCTTATCTTTTCCGACACCTCCAACAAATATCGTTATATTTTAGCCAATGTATACAAAAACATAACAAATTATATACTAAAACTTTCCTCTTAAATCACTCTATCTATTAAAAAAATCCGCATCAAAATCCGTTGCGTAATTTTAAAGATTTAAGCATACATAGGGATATAGGGACAGAGAAAGCGACTTTGTTTTATACCACCCTCGCTTCACTCGGTTTAAATGGTTGGTATGGAATAGATAGACTATATCTATACAATCTAAACTAATAATAAAAATTAAAAGTAAGAAAGGGAGAAAAACTCACGCATATATCGAACTGTCGTGGATACGTAGCACAGTTATCCCCAGAGACGACACAAAAGCTCAAATCAGGTGTCAACAGCGGGCCTGGGTTTTCTCTGTTGCCGTACACTAGCTGTGCCAGCTCGAACGCTGGATCTATTGAGAAATCTGCTTCCAACTTCCTCTCACCATTTTCTATTTGATGAAGAAGCCTGGTGACAGAAGATTGATATTTTTGATAATTATTTGGTCTAATAAATGATATTATTAATTGTAATGTGGACAGCGTGATTGATTATGGCATAATTCACCTTGCTGTGACCCGTATCCAGGAGTGGGCAGTAAAATGAGCCAACAATTTATAAACAACAAGCATATAATCTGTATATTTTATATCGCAAAAAATATACAAAATTGTATTTTTTTCTCACAGTACAAACGTTATTTAGGTATAGGTTGTTTGAGGTGTATTTGTGCGATTTACTTACGTATTCATTAATTCTATCCTCATAGCGAAACCACTTGCAAAATGAGGATAAACAAAGCCGCCATCGTCTTCTAGATCTTCGTAAAAGGCGAAATGATGTATTATTGTTGGTTCATCATCACTCAGAGGATAGCCTATCCACATTGATTCCTAAAATATATTGAAAATTAAGTTTTTTTTTCTTAAAATCATATCAAATTAAGATCTGTTCAGAAATTATTTCTGATTTTAATAGAAATATCTTTTAAAAAATACTAATTAAACCTACTCAAGTGCTATACCAAACTAAAAAAATGGCAATTTAAACAAAAAGCTATTACAAAAATAACCATAACAAAGTTCACTAACATGTTTATCAGCCGATGCCAAAGCTTCAAAAAGTTTGCTGCAACGTACAGCAGTATGTGGCTCCACAAATAGAATCCATCGGACATCACTACCTTTATATTTGGTGACCAGTGGCCTGAGTAAAGGAATTATAGTCCAAGCGCCAGCTACAGGAAAGTCTTCATGTGTTATATGCACCGTTGGGTAACGCTATTAGGAAGTGATATAATTTATAAACGTTAAAAAAATCTATAAAATGCTTTATGAAACATGTACATATATCTATGTATATACATAATATAATAAAATTCTGAATGTAATTCGTACATTATATATTTTTTGGAAAGTCTTATTGAAGTAGTCATTATAATCGATACAGAGGCCGAATTTATAGTTTTTAGAATTTGTGTTTCTTTGTCTGTCTGTTTGTCTGGGAACGCATCACAACAAAACCACTGGACAGATTTTGATGAAATTTGGTATGATGATAGCTGGTTATGCGGGTAAACATATAGGATACTTTTTATTTCGGGAAAATATCTCATATCTGAGTAATCTGTACTAACTCTTAAAACTTATCTAGGGACGAGTGGAGCGAGGGTGAATCGCTAGTGAGATATATAATTATGACCTAATATTACCTAATTACGCTACATATTTATTTTTTCGTCATATAATAAAATTGTAAGGGGTTACAGTTCATTTATCTGGCTAAATTAAAAATAACGTTTTCTAATACTTTATATAACATATTAATTAATTTTCTGGATTCTTTATAATCACATAAAATCGACGGTGAAATTGTAGCCCATAACTAGTATTCAATATGAAACCTGTACATATAACAAAAATATGTATATTAATATAAATAATATATAAATATGTGGGGACATTAACACACAGCACCATCTAGTTCCATGGTAAGCTACGAAGGCTTGTATTATGGATACCAGATAGTTGATACACTACACATATATAACTTTAAATACATACATATTATGAATATAAATAAACACTCTTGACTGGAGTACAAACATTCGTGCTCATCACACAAATGATTGCCCCCAGCGGGACTCGAACCCGCGACCGCTGGCACAGCAATTAGGATCAGTACACACGGAGCCAAACGTGTCATCATATTAGTTGTTATAGAAGCTTTAAATGAAAAAAAAAACAATGTTGTTGAAAGCAACAACAAGATAAATATTTTTTACACATTCAAAAATATTAGTACTCTTCATCAACTTTTCAATAGATTTAAAAATAACATAACAAAGAATGGCCATTCAAAATAAATTGAGAATATTATTCTATAGAAAATATATAGCACACAATATTCATAAATGCTTTGTTAAATCATAGAAAGGTATTTCATGAAAGTTTTAATACTACAAATAATTCGTGCGCTAGAAGCTGTTTCTATTATTTAATGCTCCTTGGTAACATTTAGATCTATTATTTTAAACAATGTTCATATTGTTACTTAAATGTTTTGATTTATATTATGAACTAGCGACTCACCCTCGCTTCGCTCACGTTCGTCCCTAGCTTGCTTCCCAATACAAACTTCTATCCCCATTTTCACCCTCTTAAGAGGTGATTTCTGGGGTAAAAGTATCCTATATATCCTTTCCAGGGACTCAAACTATCTTCTTACCAAATTTCTTCTAAATCGGTTCAGTAGATCCAGAGATTACCCTCTACAACGTCACAAACTTTTTATAATATTAGTACAGACTAGCAGAACTCGCGGCTAAAACAACAAAAAAAACCTTTTTGGCTTTAGGCTATTAATAATAATTTGATGGCTGTGATGATTTTCAAATGTGTATGATTGTGAATGATTTTGACTCTCGCATCGAGGGGTCATTATGCTGTGTGTGTGTGTGTGTGTAATAATATAACTATTAATATATTAATTAATATATTAATAGTTATATTATTATACACACAAATATTTTTTTATGTTTGCATTATTCCACGCAAAATATGGTCGATAATTTCGCACTCTCAACCATAAGTATCATGGTCAAGCGGCCAAGGCACAATATTGACAATCTTAGATGTCCGTATGTATTTTTGTTTTTTTTTTGTATTTAATTAAAGTTTTTAGTTTTTTTTTTAAAGAAAATTGTACTTTTAACCAAAAACTCCGAGCGAAGCTCTGTGGCCCGGGTGCTAAATATAAAGAAGCAATATTTGTAAGCTTGTATGCCTGTAGTCAGAAATTATGATGGAATTCTGAAGATCTCAGGAATTTCCCTGAATGCTATAAGCCCTTTTAATAAACACGGCTTTTCATTATAACTATAATGTCTGTAATTGTAGACGTTATGTGTTGATAAAAAATATTTAACATTTACAGTGGCTACGTCTGGATAGAGCGAGGATTGACCAGTCAATCATAATATTACTATTTACGAGATTTAATTCAGTTAACCTTTTAACTTGGTCTTTAACTTTCACTGGAAGTGGCGACAGATCTAATTGAATTACCTTAACACTTTGTTAATATTTTAAATTGTGCTTATTTCATAAAGTAAACAGAATTTTAGGCAGTATATCAAAGTAAGTAATAAAGTATATTTTTATCATATAAAGATAGACTTATCACATAATTTAAGACCAAGAACCTAAAACTGCCATAATGGCTAAATTGTCCGTATTTTATTTTTCTTAATTTGTATATTTAATGAGACAAATTTTTGCTCTGCTCGAACGGTAATCGGGGAAAGATGTAGTTACTCCACCCATGATGTACAATGTACATGATGTACAAACAAACAGAGATAGTTTCACATTTATTTTATTAGTATGAAAGTACGTATACTTACCTTTTCCAACTCAAAAACTTGATTTTGTATATCATGCTTGAGTCGCGTTGCAACGCTGGCGTGAAAAGGCTCCGATTGACTGACGATTGTAAATATAATATTTTTTGAATCTGCAACAATAAAATGAGATACATTATCTATTTATAATAAAACAACTGAGTCGAATCTGTAAATAAAATATTTTGTTGGAAAATCTTATTGAAATTGTCATTATTATTGATACTGAAGCCGAATCTATAGTTTTTAGAATTTTTGCCTATCTGTCTGTCTGTGACCGCATCACGAGAAAAACCACTGGACAGATTTTCATGAAATTTGGTATAATGATGGCTAGTTAACATATAGGATACTTTTTACAACGGGAAAATATCTCATCTCTGAGAAACCGCACAAAGGAAAATATCGTTTTTTTTGTGGACCAGGAAAACTCACGAAAGTTCCATCACAACCGGATAAATTGTTTAGGGACGCATAGGTATAATACAAACACATAGACATTTAGTTTTATTTATAGGATTTTTTTTGGAATAAAAAGCATGTCATCCAGTTACTTATATATCCAAAGCATGACTAATCATTACACGAAATAGGTTTTCGAAATATTTTTATAAAAGGCTTGGCTTCAAGCTGCAGATTAAGAAAATATTTTGTTTTCAGAGTTTATTATTCTCCAATTCCAATTTAATTTGGAGTGTCATCTTAGTATATTTAAATAAGTGATATTATGAGTAGCACATTTCCTATGTAAATAATATAAATCAACGAATTGAGCTAAAAAGGATATTCATGTTCATTTTGTTAAAATATATGACGTATTGTTATACGAAATTTAATGTTTCTCGCTAAGTGACGTAATATATTTGTGAAGTTAGATATCTTTTTGATATCTTTCTATTTAACTTCATGATATACATGTGACACAACACACAACACGTTTGGCTCGGTTTGTAGTGGCCCTACTTGCTATGCCAGCGGTTGCAGATTCGAGTCCCGCAAGGGGCATTCATTTATATGATGCACGAAGTTGAAGTTTGTTCTCTAGACATGGATGTTAACATTAATAATATGTATATATTTAAAGTTATATATGTGTAGTTAGTAGTGTATCAACTATCCTTATTTATAACACAGGCCTCGTAGCTTACCATAGATCGTGCTGTGTGTTAATGTCCTAACATATTTATTCATTTATATGTGTAATAATTAATACTAAACCATTTTCATAAGCAATAAAAAAAAGCAATATATGGCGTTATTTATAAGAATAGATTTGAAAAATTAACAATAACAAGCGTACGCTAAATCTTATTAAAATTAGGCCATTTAAAAATCTATACAGATAATAAAATTGTAACTAAGTCGAATCTGTACATTAAATATTTTTTGGAAAATCTAATTGAAATCATCTGAACACGGGCGGAGCCGCGGGGAATGCTAGTAAGCATTATTTCACTTCAGATATGACCCATCAAAGTAAATGCGCGAACCGTGTATTATTAATGTTTACCTGGCGTAGATAACGTGATCGGCGTAACGACATTATCGTCAAATTATGACAAATAGCCTCGGCAAGCGTCGAGGGCATCATCAATCAAGTGTAGGTTTCACGCGTCATGACAATTAATCTGGTATATGAACTTAAGGGGTGTATATTGCTGTATTGATCTAGTTGCAAACTGGAGTTTATTGACGATACGTTTGGCACAATTTGTAGTGACCCTACTTCCTGTGGTCGCGGGTTCGAGTCCCGCTGGCAGCATTCATTTGTATGATGATCACGAATGTTTATACTCCAGTCATGGGTGTTTATATTTATAATATATAATAGTATATATTTAAAGGTTATATATGTGTAGTGTACCAACTATCTGGTATCCATAGTAAAGGCCTCGTAGCTTACCGTGGAACTAGATGGTGCTGTGTGTTAATGTCCCAACTATTTATTGACTGGTCTACAAGTATCTATTATTATATTGGTTAAGGGTTGTGAAGATAGGTATAGCTTTTACATGAGTGTGTAAAATTCCAAATAATAAATATTCTAATGTTATACATTTAGTTCTGACAGTATCTAAAGTTTATGACTATAATTATTACGGTAAAAAATTATTGCAACTCTCTAGATAAGCAAGAATGTTGTGATAAAACTCTTTTCACGAAACATACCAAAAAACTATTAAAAAAACATAAAAAAATAAATAAAGACCGACTTAAAAAAAACACTATAAAGTAAAAAATCTTTTCGAAGTCGGTGTGCTTAATTTGTATCGGCTAGCACCGGCTTCTAAAATATCTGATTAGGTATCTATGTATAGTAAATGAAAACTACCAATCAGTTATTTTTTACTTTTTAGTGGGTTTTTTTTGAAGACGGTTTTATTTAGTTTTTTGTTTCATTTTTAATGTAGATGTAGCAAAGTAAGAAGAAAGTATTATAATAAAATATTCGCTTAAGTTAGTTGGCTTTGAAAATCCAATTAATGAGCTTGTCAAATCAAACAAAATAAGCTCAAACTCAAAGTATTAGCCGTTGAAGAATTCCACCTATCCACCTTCTGGCCTTATCATCATATCAGGACGACGATACCGAACCACTGCACTATCAACGGAAATAGAAACACTTGCAAAGTTTCAAGTCAATATGACAATTTGAAGTAGGTTAAGTTTTCATTAGCTATTTTTCCACTCTTAGACGGACTTACATAACGAAGTTCTGAGGTAACAAACATAAAAAAAAGCCAAATTAAAAACCTCTTTCTTGAAGTCGGTTGAAAATACCAATATTTCTCTTATGAAAACAGGAGTAAAAATTATAATTTTCCAATCTTATGTGAATAATAAGTATTTCGCATCTGCATTCACTTGATACTCTCCAAAAGCTAGCCGTAAAAACTAACGACGAGTAGTTTTCAAAAGTAGCACTTTAAAGTCCGATGTTATCACTTTAAAATAAAAAAAAACCATAGATAACACACATCTACTCGTATATGGAAGCGGATGAATTATTCAACGGCTAATAACCTCGTCTAAGTTCACTGCAATCTAAAAGTTTCCGAAAGATTTATGGTAAAGAAAGTTTGCTTGTGGAGCTTTGACGGTGTGTCAATAAATTACACTACATGCGACACGTGACGAGTTCTGGAGATTTTGCGTGACGTATTAAGGAAAAAAACAAATCTTCTAAATACATACATAATAAATGAATATTATATTCGTTTTAAGAAAATTCTTTGAATGGGATCTGCAAAAATTTGACCAAAAAAAATTGAAGTCAATATGCTTAACAAACAATATACATACTTTTTCAAAATTATTTTATAATAGTGGGATAAAAGTGTTATAATATATGTCCATATCGTTACTAGTAACAAAATACTTTGTATTCCTTTCTTTATTTGCAGGCGTCATTTTTAAATATTATACAACCTACATATATGTCATCTAAGTCGATAAATAAATGAGTATTTAAGGCGAATCAAAGATACGTCATATTTAAACAAACAAGCGTTTAAAAGCTTTATATACAACTAGCAGAACCCGCGGCTTCGCTCGCGCTGAATCTACAAAAAAAACTCTAAAAAGGTAAGTTTCATACAAACTTTCATCCAATATTTTACCCCTTTGTGGGATGAATTTCGAAAAATTCTAATACACGTATTTAATTAATTATATTGAAGAGTATTCATATACTATGTTTCAAGTAATTCTGATCATAAATATTTTTTTGGGTTGTATTATAACGTGTTTTCCCGTGGGAATGAGATAATCTCCCGCAGAAAAAAGTGGCCTATGTCACTCTCCAACCCTCCAACTATCTTCACACAAAAAATCATGCTAATCCTTCAATCCGTTTCGACGTGAAAGAAGGACAAACAAACAAACACACTTTTATATTTATAATACAAGTATGGATGTATATTCGAAAAACACTTTTATGAGAATCGGGTTAAAAATTAAACACAATCAAAAATAATCCAACGAATGCGTTACACTAATGAAAAGCAACGGATCAGCCAGCGATCTAATTTCCGGTTGACCCCACATTTGTTCATAATCGATCAGATCAGCGTTTATTACAACCATTTCCGTTATCCTTATGTACCTGCAATGAGATTTTAATGTGTCGCACCTCAGTTCTGCATTATTCATGGTGGTAGCTGCCTTCAGGATTTATTCTGTCGGATTTCGCTTTTAAAGATAGGCCGGTCGCGGATAAAGAGAATAAGCGTAATGTTCCGAGAGTGATAAAGTGACTTTTCGTTTTATTCGCACGTGTTTGAACACCGATTTATTTATTGTCGAATGTGATGCATTTCGAATAGGAACGCAGTTTGATTGGAAAATATTTTGAAGTACAACTAAAAGGTTGTTGCACTCGAAGTGGTATATTTTGCGGAATGGCATCATAAATTATAGAGCTTAATTTCACACAGAACTAAAAGTATTACTAATTTTCTCGATATGTGTCCAAAGAATATAGTGACAAGTCACATTGTACTTTGCGCGTCGCAGATTATGACAAAACAAATATATATACATATCTACTAGCGGCTCAGATTCCCTTCGCTCGGGTTCGCCTCTAGAAAAAAAACAAATCTATCCCACGAAAACCGTACACTTTTCCGAGATAAAAAGTAGTCTATGTGTTATTCCAGGCTATAATCTATCTCTGTGCTAAATTATATCCAGATCCGTTCAGCCGTGCTAGCGTGATTTAGTAACAAACATCTATCCAAACATCTAAACACGTTCACATTTATAATATTAGTAAGAAATAAGATAAGCTGCACTTCTTTAACCAACGATAAACCTGTCACAATGCATATACTCGTAGTTCCCCGTACAAGTATCAAATCATCTACACCTAACGTAATACAAGAGTCAACAAAACTGTGTATAGCTTAACAATTTATAAACAATCAAGCTAAACCAATATTGGGTATGTCCAAACAGTCCAGTAAGTTAACATGTCATCGTGTTCCAATAACAAATTCACTGCATTCATTTTATATTCCATTGCCAGAGAGAAATCAATTTTGTTCAATTTTGCTGAAACTTTTCCTACTGAATCGTGGATAAGGTGCAAATAGCATTTGCGAGCATTAATAAT